GATGGAGATGGAGAGGGAGAGGGAGAGAGAGAGAGAGAGAGAGGGGGGGAAAGAGAGAGAGAGAGAGAGAGAGAGAGAGGGGGGGGGAAAGAGAGAGAGAGAGAGAGAGAGAGAGAGAGGGGGGGGGGGAAAGAGAGAGAGAGAGAGAGAGAGAGAGAGAGAGAGAGAGAGAGAGAGAGAGATGTAGGACAGAATAATACTGCATACAACCTTTGGGATTGTATGTAAACAAGCGTAATTTTCTTCAATATAGGCTTAGCTTTAGATCTTCCAGTATCTAAACCCTTGTGATAACCAAAACAAAACAGGCATATAGGGAGCTATATCAAGTTCCCTTTAGTGCAACAGGTTGGTGATCCAGGAAGTTTAATGTCCAGATAGGCAGAGGAGAGGGGCTTAAGGGAACTCATTTTTGCATGCACACAGTCTCTCTCTCTCTCTCTGTCTCTCTCTCTCCGTACACGCACACACAAACATACACACACAAAAAAGAATAACAAAACACCTCCCCAAAAAAACAAAAACAACCCAACCTCACTCACACAAAAGAACACGCGCGCACCAAGAAAGGTCAATACATAATTATTATTAATATGGCCAATAAATACAAAGATTGTTTTGTCGCCAGTCTAATGTAATGCTGAAAACGCAATTGAGCATAGACAAACACATGCGTATAAGGGGTAACAAGATCGTCTGAGAAGTGAAGACAGGACATCAGGCGGGGGGGGGGGGGGGGGGGGGGGGGGTGGTAGAAACAAAAAAAAACCCATTATAAAATTGTATTGAGCCATGTCCAAGGTGAACGCCCCGCGATCCCGTGACACGATATAGCGACGTGTGTGACTGGTCAATGACACACCATTCACCAAGACGATGCGGCTGGCCTCAAGGGCACACGGCACCCCTGCCATTCGCCAACGACGCGCAACAGCGACATCCCCCCCCCCCCCTTTTTTTTTCGGTCCCCAGTCATTACGGTACCTTAATATTCTATCGGACATTTTTGTCCGTTTTGAGTTACTAAGACCATGAGGTCAGAAACTAAATGTTCTATCTGCTCTATCAAAATCGTTAGATTATTCGGCGCCGTTATCAAAATGTTCAAAGAAATTTTGCATTCGAAAAGACTTGACATGTAACATCAACTTCCTCAAAACTAGGTACTGAGCAGATCAGAACTCTAATTCTAGGGTAGCCATCTCGACAGCGACAACATCACATTACTAATACAAGATGTACTATAATATTCTGGTGCGCTCTATGTGGGTTTTGTTGTCCTCACATCCTGTGAATGTCAGTGACATGTAGTAGATCCAGGTTGGTAAAAAAAAAAAAAGGGAGACTTTTTAGGAGTATGGACCGGATTTGTTTCCTTGTCCTTTGGACGTAGAAGTTACTAGTGTTGATATAAATCGAGGACAGTTGTATTTCTGGACACGGCAGAAAAGTGTGAGTATGCCAGAACTTTTTTTCCTTTTATATCATTAATGACGCGATAACATTTGAGACGTGTGATCAATAAGCAGTTACGCGAAAAACAGCTGATCAATGAGGACATTTTTATATTTGTCGCGAGCTGAATCATTTAGAAATGAATTAATTCTACGAAAAATTAACAAAAAAACATACTACAGATAAGTAATAATAAGCCAGCTTTCCAAAGATGCAAAGAATTTATCACAAGCAAATGCTAGTTTAACTTCAATGAATTCTTATGTGAAACAAAGAGCAAATAAGAATCTACCTCTGTAGAAAGATTTTTTCTTTTCCCACTTAACGATTTACCTTCGTTCATTAAAAAAATTATTTTAAACTTCGTTCATTCTTTTTATTTATTTTACTTTCTAATGATTTATTTACAGTCAAACCTCGTACCCCCCCCCCCCCCCCCGTACCGCCAGGTTTTGCCGATGTATGAAAAGAATCTCCTATATAAACACAGTATCTTTACACTGCCATACCTCTCAATCAAAAGTCCTGTGTTCGAATCCACAGATCATCAGTTTCCAGTTACTAGGGAGAGGTTTTGAAGTCATTTTCAGAATTGGACGATAGGAAAACTGAGAACAACATTGAGAATTTTCATTCATTTTTCAGAGATCGACTGGACATGGTTATACAGGTCTCCACCATTCCATTTTCTCTCTCTCTCTCTCTCTCTCCCACAAGCTCTCTCAAACTAAAAAAAAAAAAGTTTTAGTATAAGTTTTACGGCGCTCGCAACTGCACAAGGTCATATGAGCGTCAAGGGAGGGATGTCAACAGAGAAGTTCTTACAGGGAATCAGACTTACTCTGCTCACCTCTCTAGCTTCAACAGCACAAAGTCTGCTTCGACCATCAAGGCATCCCGGAAATAGCGGGTCACAAGACAAAAGAAGTAGAGGAAAATGACGATAGTAAGGATTAGATAAGAAAAAGCAGCAGTTCCCTGTTGTAGTTCATGCACAGTTATTGTCAGTGGGCTCCTCCAGGAAGTTACTGACACAAGAACAGATTTCATTGGCAATCAAAGGTCCTTTCCTTGGTGCCAAATGTGACACTTCACACCTTTGGTTACCAAACTCTAAAAAATATAGACAGTATTTTAGTCCTGTTATAATATAGTGCAGCAGATGCGTTCAACGCCGTACTAACGATAAACTCGCTCCCAATTCCATGCATCATGCACACTAGACATAATCCAGTCCCATTCACTGGGATTTGTGCAAATTTCATTTTTAGATTCTTTCTCCTACCCTGCATACATCACATTGATTCTTCCGACACATCCAACAACAGGTTGTTCTTTTTTAATATCTCTCTCTAAAGTCATCTGGGACAATGTGTGACTCTTTCCGTTTTCTTTAGTACTCTCTATAAAGGCCTCTGAGGCTTTGAAAGTGATAGTCAAGACAGATTTTGCCTGTCGTAATGGGAAAGCGATTTCGTCAAGTTCGTCGGAGAATTACTTATCACAAAATTGCTTGTCGTCTTCTGTTCTCTCGTAATTTGACAATCGTGGAGCTCCCATTCCATGTCATGTAAACTGTCTTTGCAACAGTCATGAATAACCGTAAACCACCATGTGAGAGCAGTCGTATACAAACTCATTGTTTTGCATAGGTAGAATATATGAAGATTTATTTCAAATTGAAGAGTAGAGCTGGAGAGTGGAAGTTAAAGGTTTGTTGAAGAGAGAATTTTCGGGGCGAATATGTTTATGAGCTGCTTTTTTTCGAGAGACAAATTAAGTATCAACTACCCTGCACTGATTAACTAATCAATGATTCAAGATTGGTACATGACAGACACAGCATGGGGCGCACACTTAAAGTAAATTAAGAAATGCGAAAAGTCGCGATGAAAATATTTTCCAATAGTTGTACATAATGTGAAATAAACGCCCCTTAGTTGTCAATCATAGACTTTTAAAACAATTCATTCCATCAGTAGCTTTTGCCACAATTTACCGACTTAAAGTCGAGCTAGTATTAACATATTCGTTGATGCCATCTTGCCCTTTCTCAACTACACTACCAAACCTAGGATAGATTACGCAAACTACCATGACAAAATCTTCTGGTTCGATCGGATTTGAAGTTAGCAAATGTTGTTTTGATGTCCTGTGAGTCACGCCACCTACGCGACAAGTGAATACCTCAACAAGCCACTGAATCTGCGTGTTTCAACCGCCCATTCGCAACCGGGTTGCAAAACTGGCACTCGGGTGGCTGAATCACGTGGAAATTGGGGACTGGTGTGACATTGTCAATTGATTCACTGAAGGATTGAAACTCTTTGCAGTAATCTTTCAAACTCGGGATTTCAAAATAAGGTGTATCAAAGGCTGTACTACATAAAGGGATCAAAAGGTGATTTTCGAAAATTTTGGAATTCAAGCGGTTGAATCAGGTGGCTAGCAATATATAAAATAGCTGCCAGTCTTATGACAAAAGTGTGTGTTTGAGCGGAGCAAGTCTTTGTATGGCCTTTGATAAGCAGAGGCTGCTGTGCTGTAATGTTATCAGACGAGCATCATAATCAAATCGCCTACACATAACCTCCTGACCTCTCTGAAATGAGGTTTACAGAGATATACACAACACACAGGGGTTCCTATGAAGAAACTCACGACAGGTATGAATGACAAAGAAGACTTTTTTTACAATCTGATCCCCGAACAACTGAAAAGGCTCAACCTGTATAGTATAAAATGCCTATAATTTGCCCATCATGTTAGAAAAATATGTCTGAGAGCATCCCAGCAGAGAAATGAGTGGCAAACCATGACCACAAATGTCCATCTCAGACCTGGCACCAGAGCATCCAAAAAATACCAATGGGGAGCCTTCTAACTATAATACCTGGATACCTGGAGGTGTCATCTCGGACTCAGATGTTGATGTGTAATGTCCCCCCATCCTTCAAGATCGCCAGCTGTCACTGCTATATCCAGGCCAGTCCTTGTTTTTATGTTGTTCATCCATGTTACTCTTACTCTTTGTCTTCCTCTGCCCCCACATCCTTCCTTCAAGCACCTTTTTCACAATGGTCTCGTGTTGTTTTAAGTGGTCAAAGTATAGTATTTTCCTACATTCTTTATAATTTCTTTGGTCATTACATTTCTTTAGGATCATACTTGGTAAGTTCCTTATTTCTTCGACACTGCCCTGCCACAATCTTCTCTGGGTCTTAACGTGCCAAAGTGAGCCACACACCTTGCTATCGTGCCTTGATACCATTTTTAAAAAAAAGGTATCTATTGATACCTGCATCTACTCTCTACTTTACACTTCACTGCTAAAGTAGACCACCCCCATCACCCGCAGCTGGTGCACACATTTAGTCAGGCCCCTCCCCCGGCGACCTGGCCAGCTTGGTAGAACCTGTGAGGGACTTAAGTCCCCGCTGGTATAGCTCCCGGGATCTTAAGGACTCACAAGCTTCCCTGTCACAGCAAGGCATGTATACAAGGGAAAGCTAACTATAATACGTTCTCAAAAAACAAAAACTCACCTGATGGCCAAGTTTGTTCCACCAATCGTCACTGTGTACCTCGCAGGAGTAGCCAGTTTGTACATGAGGTAGGCCAAAGCAAGGTCACCGAGCCCACCAGAACGAAATGGGGATATGATTTTCTCGCTTAAATTCCAACTTTCCAGGTAGGGGACAATATCTATACCACTGTGAAAATAAGGAGATAAGAAGCATTGCTTCTTTTAGAAGAATAATGAGGGACAACAAATAAAGGATCATCGCATAACTCAGAGTCACTACATTCAAAACACACTAATTCCTCACGAAGTGATCACAAAAACCCCCCCAAAAAAAGAATTTATTTAAGTCCTCAGAATTAAAAATAGAAACAAAATTACTTTAAAACTACATTTGTTCAATTTCAAGGACTAAAACTAACAGTGATCAACCTTTGACTACCACAGCTGAGCGAACAAAAATAGATATAGAGTTGAAATCTGATACCATATATTATATATATATATATATTATAATATACTAATGGAGCTTACTTCAAATTTTTTGTGAGCCTAAAGGCTCCTAAACTGAATGATATTAAACAGTTCAGCTTCACTGAAACCCTAACCACTAAACAAAATTCTGATACCCTTTCCCTGTGGCCTAGTAATAAAGTGCTTTTGGGGTCTGTCAGACCACCATTGTGTAGGCTAGAGTCTAGAGTTAACCAAGTCAAGTGCTGCTATCGATATGTCTAAAATTTTACGATTATTGGTGGTATCGTCAGAATCATAATAGCTCCTCCCAGTGCTCCCTAACAAATCATGCTAAAAGCACAAAATTATCAAGAGTAAGACTAAATTTGAAAAGAAATCCATTATCAAAATGTACCACAAGATAAATACTAACAGCCCCCCAAAACAACTACAACAAATAAAATAATTACCATCTTGCTGCTGTGTAAAAGGAACCAAACCAAATTGAGGAAGTGAAGAGATGCACTGCTATCAACACTTTCCCATGCTCCTTGTAAGTTTTCTTGAATCGCTGATACAAAGTCAACTTCTCAGGAGTGTCAGAGCCAGCAGCTGACGTCTCTGACGATGGTGACTTTTCTTGATCAGGGGTGGCCTTAGAGCTATCCTGTCTAGTTTGTCCTCTTGGTGAACTGTTCTTTGAGGCACTACTGTTCTTTGGAGTCTGGCTGTTCCCATGCTTTTTGTTTATTTGTCTGTGGATCCCACGCTGTTGCGAAATAAAGCACGAGTTTTCAACTGTTGGCAATTGCAGTAGCAATATTTTGTGACCATGAATATGTCTCACTGAGGAATCACGTGTAGGAGAAAATTCACCAGTTGAGTTGTGGAATGCTCCATCTGTCTGTCCCCAAAATTCCACACATGAAGTCCCATAGGGGAAACTGCCTCTCGACGACACAAGACAGCTGTTGTGAGTTGGATGCTGAAACCGGAGCAGTTGACTTAAATAAGTAGATTCCAAAGTTCTTGGACCTGTAGAGGACAAAACTGTTTGGTCAGAGAGCAGCAACATTAAAAAATGGTTTAAAGTTCAAGACAATAACATACGTTAAAGAAAAAAAATCATATTGATTTTCACACAATCACCACTGGCTACTCTGTACATGGAGTTCTCAGAATTTTTAATTTAACCCCACTGACATCCATATGACCCGATCAGAAATGCAACATTAAAGAGTGATGCTGAGCACTACAGGAATATTTACAACTTGGAACTGACATTAAGAGGTCATGCTGAGAAGTCCATGAGGAACTCGACACCATTCAGAAAGGAAATCTCTTTCCAATTAATACCAATCAGACATGTGACTTATTTTTCATGTTTTGTCAGTAAGGTGATCTGAGAAAGAGCTTTTCAATCGACATAAAATGAGTCTCCTTTAAACAATAAATGCTCTGGCTGTCGGTTTAAGGAACTGGGGTCCAAAAAGAAAACACAACGGACACATTTTACGAAAGGAAAATTTCTCTTTTAAGTTTAAAATGAACCATGTATCCGCCGACATTTCATTAGATCCACAGAAACTGTAGGGTCCCACTACTCACTCTCCTCTTTTTGGGAGTGTCAAGTTCATTAAATTTCAGAGTTCTGTCGAATGCTTGCTTCACTAATAGTAAAAAGCCTTTCTAAGTTAATAACGAAAGCCATTAATAGTTGCTTTGTTGAGCGGGCACTACCTTCAGAGCATAGCCCAAAGTTAATATAGGTCTTTTAGGTGGCTGGTCTATGTTGGATACTGGAGTTTACTATACAGCAATGATAGGCCGACTTCTGTTTTCGAATGCTTATCTTACAGTGTAAAACTATGGTAATAAAATGTTTATTGCAGAGGCAAAATTCTCTTATCATTTGAAAAGCAATACATGTCCATTCCACCAATGTTGATGCACCTCATGAGCAAGAACATTTTAAATTTTCTTTGATTTCATGCAATTTTGCCAAATCTGTTTATTTTTAGATTAAGTTTAGTGACCATATCTCGGGCTCTTAATATAGATGAAATATCAATGAGCCAGATGATGTAGAATTTATTTAGCTTTAAACAGGTATGCTACATGAATATGGCAAGGCTTTAACGATGATGATTGGGGGAATACATCCTCAAGATTCTTTTGGAAGCCACTGTATATCAGCCTCTGATGCTAAGGATGACCTATCATAATCCATTCACCTGTCGTTATTGTTAGTCCCTCCAATAAAAGAACCCAACCTGTAGCACTGATTGAAGAGGAAGAAGGGGGGAGGGGGAGCCTGGAACCCCTCGATTGGTCCAAAGCACGTCTAGATCTAGATCTATTTCTATTCAGAACAATCAGATATTTCAAAAACTATTATTTTGCGACAGAAATGAAGTTGATATTCGTGTTCAGCGCATCAGCAGTGTTCGAGACTCGAGGTCTCGATCTTAAGAGCTATTTTTAGCAGTGTTCAAGTCATGGCCTCTAAACAGCCCACTTGAAGCAGCTTCCAAACTCGAAAATCAGACTCGATTCCTCGATTCTTTTTCAGTTTTTGGAATCGAGTCTTTTTGCCGTCGATCTTGCTCTGGCCTAATTGTGAGTACCGTTGGGGTCACCAAAGTTCATTCAAAGTCAGTACGCTGCGAAGTATAGGGCTCCGGAATGGGGGGGATTATTATTATTTTTTTAAGGTACAGTCGGGGGAGGGGTGGGGATGAAGGCAACACCGGATGACAAAAACTGAACTTGGAGTTCTGAACAGCCCGGTTACCGTGTACTTGACACTGAGACTACGTGCCCGGTTGCCGATTACCGTGTACGTTGACACTGAGGGTAGGTGCCAGGTTACCGAACTTATCATGTACGTAGACACTCTGTAAAAAAAAAAACGAAGTGGCTAGCCGTACTTAAGTACGGCTAGACTGAGAGTCTAGCCGTACTTAAGTACGGCTAGACTGCCAGTCTAGCCGTACTTAGATCTAGGTTTGGCCCAATCGACTCAATCCTGTTAAGTACACAGGTCTCATGAGATCCAGATCTAGTTATTATTCAGGTTCAAATACATGCAAGTCAGTAAGGCACCTTTTGGTTTTGTCTGAAATACAAATACTTTAGGCATTGCAAACTAAAATTTTCATTTACAATTCAGCCATCAATATTAAGTACGGCTAGACTTCTTGTCTAGCCGTCCTTAAGTACGGCTAGACTGGCTGTCTACCCGTACTTAATTACGATACATGCACTGTCCTAGACGAACTTGGTTTTGTCTAGACTGCCAGTCTAGCCGTACTTATCTTAGGCCCTATTTACATTAGAAAACAGGAGGTTTAAAATACATGCACTGTCATTAAGGAACCTGGTTTTGTCTCAAATACAAATACTTTAGGTACTGCACACTAAAAATGTATATTTACAATTCAGTAGTGAGTAGGCCTATTTTTTGTAAATGGTCAGTCTAGCCATCATATTAAGAATAAGTACGGCTAGACTGTAAGTCTAGCCGTACTTAAGTACGGCTAGACTGTGAGTCTAGCCGTACTTAAGTACGGCTAGACTGCCAGTCTACCCGTCATTAAGTATGGCTAGCCTCTTCCAAAAAAAAACCCCTATATCTAGATCTAGATCTAGAATCTAACCTTCATATAATCATTAGAAAGCCAGTAAGTTCTAGAATCAGATCTCTGCTATAGATCTTCCTTCGTCATCACTTACAAGAAAACAATCTGTTAGAGCCATTCCAGTCTGCTTATCGAGCTAACCACAGCACAGAAACAGCACTTCTTAAAGTCATGAATGACATGCTTACTGATTGTGATTCAGGAAAAGTTGTTTTGAAGAGCCTTTTAGATCTATCAGCAGCTTTTGATACAATTGACCATCACATCTTATTGAAGCGATTGGAAGTGTCTTTTGGATTATCCGGGACTGCCCTTATTAGCTGTTTTTTTTCTTACATGTCAAATAGTTACCAATCTGTTTTTATTAAAGGGCTTAAGTCATCAGATCATGCTCTTAAGTAGGAAGTGGCTATTCTCACCTGGGGTGAGAATAGAAATACGATCGACCTCTCACCCTGGGTGAGACTTGCCACCGTAGGCTATTCTCACCCGGTGTGAAACAAGACCTGTTTTTCCTAATTTCGGAATATTTTCTATTGATGTGGATGATCAAATGGATAAAGGCAAAGAAAAGATTACGTTATAGCACAAAAGTAAGCTAATTTTATCGACTACAAAGATGCTATGGCTATTTCACTTTTCGAGTCGAGCCGAACTACGGGGGTCGCCATTTTGTTTTGCCCGGAAGTTCTCGCAAGATCTATTCCTCCCCTCTTCTCTCTCTCTTTCTGAATACTGTCTATCGGTGTGGACGATCAAATTGACCAAAACAAAGTTAAAAAATGATGTTAAAACACAAAAGTAAATTAATTTCGTCGTCTACAAAGATGCTACGGCTATTTAACTTTTCGAATCGAGCCGAACTACGCAGGTTGCCATTTTGTTTTGCCCGGAAGTTCTCGCGCTACTCCTCTCTCTCTCTCCGCTGCCAACAGACAAAATTGTACGCTTTTAGTAGGCTAACAGTAGTAATGGAACGTTTGTTCACGGCAAAGAATTCTACAATTTTTCTGTTATCACAGTGTAGAATTCTGTGTTTTAGGGTGAATGCAAAATTGGTTGGCCTAGATCTAGGCTATAACAGTGAACACGCACTGGGTGGGAATAGCCAAAAGACTCGCCTGCACTATTCTCACCCGGGGTGAGAATAGAGGTGGCCCTTAAGTATGGGGTCCCCCAGGGCTCAGTCCTCAGTCCAGTTTTGTTCACCATTTATACTCAACCACTTGTCAAGGAAATTGTTAAATATGACCTAAAATACCATTTCTATGCTGATGATACCCAAATTTATGGTTCAACATTGTTTACCAACTTAGATGAACTTGTCCATCGTGCTGAAAATTGTATTGCCAAGGCCCCAAGATCTGGAATACTTTACCAAGTACGTTGAGAGAAATCAAATTTTTTGATTCATTCAAATGTCAGCTGAAGTCGTTTCTGTTTTTAAATGAATAAGATGAATATTTTGAATAATTTTTTTCAGTCAGAACACGTTTCATGTTACTGTTGTATGTTGTACTGTATTGTAAAGCGCTCAGAGGGGTTGAGCGGTATATAAATGTCATTTATTATTATTATTAAATCTAGAATTCGAGATCTAGATCTAGATCTAATCTACATCTAGAATCTAGATTCTAGATCTCGATCTCGATCTTTGAGGTCTAGATCTAGAATCTAGATCTAGAGTCACGACCCCACTCATGGGCCACTAAGCTACCCACGTAGGGAAAATCACTCTCAGACTCAAATCCAGTTATCAATGTTTTTCTTTTAGTGCTGTTATGTAGAGTAACATGCCCTTGGACCATTTGAGGGGTGTCCCATGCTTGGCACTTGGTATTTTATGTTAGTAATCCAACCTTTTTTGGGACAGTGTCAGAAAATCCTAATTACCCCCCAA